TACGCGGTTTGAAATTGTGTTAATAAAAATTTCTAATAAAAATTAGTTGGTCGGATAATTACCTCAAAGCTTTCACATTCATTTTCAAAATTGTTTTAAAACGTTGGCAGTGTGTTTAAAATCGTTTCGCAATTTCAATTGTAAATTTTGAAAACTTTTTCATTTGGTTTTTAGTTTTCTAATTTTTTAAATTTTGTAAAATGCTTTAGTTTAAATGTTCATGTTTTCTATCAACATTTTCTAGCACATCAAATAAGTTACAGCAGCCAAAAAGATTAAAACTATTGCATGGAACGTTACTTGGTAAACGTATAACTGAAAGGGAATAAAAAAAATATAACAAAAAAATTGTTTAAATTTTGTTGAGAGCTCATGTAAGTATTTTGTACTGGTATGCTACTTACGAAAAAAGACGTAATTATTATTATCATTCATTTTTATAATTATCAACCGTAATAATATTTATTATTGATATCATTGTTACTGCATCATCGTTCATTATATTATTAGATTTGGTTTGTCAGTTTACATTAAATTTTCATGCTTTTCATTGCTGTGTTCACTTACCATGCTACAATTACTTATTAAAATACGATCATATATTAACACACAATTAATTATTAAAATACTGTTACTTAATAAAATACAATTAAAGGTTAACTTTTGCGTTAGCTTCAGAGGTTTCAACGACAAACACACACAGCGTATATGATTACGCGTGCAAACCACGCATCATACACATTGCATATGATAGGCGGGGATCTCTTTGTATTCGAACCCAGTCATTGCAATAGCACGACCAGGCGCCTTTAACCATTGAGCCATCACGCCGCCCGTTACCTAATTAAAATCACTCATCACATCACATTACAATCACTCATCACATACAATCACTCATTGCATCACAATTACTAATCAACTTACAATTACCTGTAACTAACACAGTTTTATTTATTATTAGGACAAAATTTACTTAATTCATTAAAAACCTTTGAAAGCGAAAAATAGAGTTGGCATTGATTGAATTCTAGAAGAAAGCCAATGAAAACAATGCTATTCAATTTCATTTAACGTTCTGCAGTGCTGTCGGCTAGCATGCACTTTCTATTAACAATTATAAAGATGAGTGAATGAAGGAGTTATTAAATAACGAATGAATGATCGAATAAATGAATGAATGAATGGATGAATGAATGAATTAAAAGATGAATGAACGAATGAACGAAAGAATATATGGAACCTAGTTTAATTTAATGTTTGGATGTAGAAATGAGCAAGCAATAAATGAGTAAAACTGTTGAAAGAATTCATTTATTCTGCTCTTTATTTTTTCATTAATATTAAAGTGAAATTTAAATTTTACGATATAGTTGCAATAACTCAATTCAATAATGCATGAAAATGTTGGGGGTTTTTGAAAAAATTCTATCTGAGAATTACATTCAAAATCGTTTATTTACGGATTCAAAAAATTTAAAACTGAACTCGATAACAATTTTTTTCAAATTGACAAAAATTCGTTTCAAACAAGTAAGCGCTGTGAAAAGTTGAAAACATGTCGTTTGCAATTTAGCCAACAGAAAAGCAAAGATTAACGATTTTATTTATAAAATCAAAAACGATTATTGGCTCATAATAAAAATTATTCTGTTTCATATTTAATGATGTTTCTATTGAAGCTGGATCAAACCCGTCATTGAAATCTAATACCAGAGAAATTTTTCTTTGATTCCATGCCCTCAAGTGAATTCATTGTCGTGTCAGGCTTGTTGGTAGTTGTGTGTGGTGTAGATACGTAAGCATGTGGTCAAAAAAAGTATATAAATGATGCAACATCGAACTTGTGGAACGGTTATTTTATATTATTAATATTTAGAACGATTTTTAACTAGAACTTCGATGCATGATGCTTTCATGTTGCAACTTTGATGAATATCATGAACGTGGTCCAAGTGTCGTTTTTTTGGGCAACCGACATGGCGGTAGCTAGAGGAGAGGGAGCTCCCGATGCAAACATTTTCGAGGGAGTCAGTTTCCTACATTCAGATAACACGTCCCAGCCATCTTAACTGATGTTACGTGAAGAAACTATCTCCTGGGCTTCCTTTTTGAACAATTCAGTGTGTGGAACCTGCACCACCATCGTATTTCTAGAATGCAAGTCATGACGTCCTCGAATGCAGTTGTAACACTTTTGAAAGGTTTCTCTGAAGGGCGACGGTAGAATGAGCAGGAAAGGCAGCATCATCAACATGTTGTTGTTTGATAATCTTGTCATAAAATATTTTACTCTTCGCTTTAAACGGCGCATGCTGAAAAAATTACTTTAAAAACGAGATGCCTGCGTTTTTGGGGGGCCCGTTAGGACTCAGTGAGAAATAGATTGAAAATATTTGGAGCCAAGATGCAACTTTGTTTCACCCCTACTAGCATGTCAAAAGGCTTGGATTCTTTTCCGCAGACTACATTTTTTGCTCTCATGCCGGTATGAGATTACGTTCATGAACAGCGGAAGGCAGCCAAATTTTTCAAGAATTTTTCATGAGGATCTCTGACTATATTGAATGTTTTCGTTAAGTCTCTATAAAAAGAAAAGGATCGCTTTATGTTTTGCTCGCAGCATTTTTCATGCAACATTCATACGTTAATAACCATGCCAACTGTGCTTGGTTGAGCTTCTAGTATGATGAAATTGGCATTGAATTGGGTTTAGAATTTTGTAGCTTCAGACAGTTTGGACATGCCACAACTGTTGCCACATCCTCATTTGTCATCTTTTCTTTCTTTTGGTAGGTAGTGACAATGTTTGCGACCTTTCATGACTGGGTCAGTCATTTTGTTTTCTAAACTCGAATTAACTCATGCAAATGATAACAAAAATGGTTTTCGCCGTATTTGAAAATTTTAAAAGAAATGCCGTCGAAGCCAACAGCCTTATTTTTCGGTTTTACCACGGCAGCTATATTTCTATTTCAGTCATTTCTATCAATGTACTAGACCTCACCCGTTCTTTTCACTAAAACATCTACTTCCATCAAAACACTAAAGAATGCGATAATTTATTACGACACTTACCTCATGGTGTTGGATGTAGGTGGACTTCATATTGCAATCCCAGTGCCGGTCCCAACACTTACACGTTTAGGTGATCAAAATTGTAAGAGGGTTTCCTTCCCTTTTCAGACGATCTACCCTAAATAAGCAATGAAAATTCATACTAGTCATGATGTTTTCGAATGCATGCATGTACGTCTGCCTGCCTGCCTGCATAAATGTATGTATGTATGGAACTTAAATGCATACCTTAATGCATAATGGCAAGCGTATGTGCACTGCACATGCAAACACAGCAAGTTCACCTACAATTCACATTTAACTAACAGGCATTGTTATAAGTCTTTGTATGGATAGCATCATTCCTTTAAGACGTTGTCAATTGAGTTAAGATATTTCTGCACAGTTGAGTTTCATGGGGAAAAATATATTTTTTTTGTGTAGTAACACAACAGACATTCTACGTTGGACATGCCGCAATGACAAATCTTATGTAAAATGGGCGTGGATTGAAGAAAATAAATGTTAGTCTTTTTAATGCGCTGTGCATGTTCAATTTCGTTTGTTTGATAAATATACTGTTACCTTTTATTCTGAATCCCTTCTATCTGTTATCATCGCTGTAATCGCTTATAGTTAGCAAAGCAAAGTTTTATTATATTTTTAGTATGTATATAATTTTTCAATTTGAATTGGAAGATGCTATTGTAGAATAAAAGGGATGTACTAAAAAAACAATTTAAAAGTAGATGTTGTGTGGCAGTTGGTGTCTAACAAGATTTTGTATTTTATTTTATTTTGCTTGCCTAAGTGATGGCTTGTCTAAGTGACGTCTTGTCGCAGTCTTTTAAATTTGTTTGCAGTTTGTAAAGTTCAATTCAATTCGAGCAATCTCTTTTGTGGAACTTTTAAATTTTTTGTCGTTTTTGTTTCTTATTCGTGTGGCTTGATATTGATTTGATGATTTGGAAAGAAAAGTGAATTTTTTATTTTCAAACAAACGATCAACATGGTGCAATTTCAATAAATGAGAAATGAAAATAAATTTGAGAACAAAAACAAAATAATTGAGTGGACCATGATATTAAAACTAAGCATAATATTTTATTTACACAATTTGAGTTTGTATAACATCAAAATTATTGGCCCAAAAATTTCAAGTCAGAATATAAAAAAACTAAAATAATCTTACCTAAAAAATAATCTGACAACTTAAATTCATATTAAAAATTAAAGTTTTGAAGTTAAAATTTTTATAATTCATTATTTTACATCTAATCAATCAACCACATCTTACATCATCATCAAAATTTTAATTTTTTTACTTGATTAACTAAATTTATATTAGTGTCCTATTTTTTGGTTTAAAAATCTGTTTTATCACTGTTTAATGAACGTCTCTCTGTCTTTGTATTTTGTGGCGTTAATTTTGTTTTGAAAAGAAAAATTGAACAAATATTTTATATACCTTTGTACTTTAGATGAGTATTAAGGCCCAATTGAGAACCATCGGATCAAGGTTAATGTTAGATTTGACTTTGAGTGCTATTAAAATACAGTTTTTATTAAACATATTTTTAACAATATCTAAACATTTTTTTAAATGCCCGTGTTTTGAAAACAGATGACCAATCGTAGCTGAACAAAAATTAATCTGAAGATTATTTTTAAACAATGAGTATATTTCATTTCTTCTGTCTTAAATTAAAATTATACGTAATTCTTAAGAATTGTTCAACAAATCAACACAATCTATTTCAATTTTCCTTTCCAAAATAAAATATTTTGCAAAACATTTTTTGAAGGTTTGAAATGAGTAGGTTCAAAAAGCAACTTTGAGTTCAGGTAGAGTTTAAAAACATGAAAATGAATGCTTTGTTATAAATATGTCTCAGACTTTTTAAATCTTAAAAAAAATAAACTGTTGAATAATTTAAATTCAACAGGTACATCGCTGTAACAAAACCGATCCAGTATGCTAAGCACAAAAACTCGAGACGTGTGCATCTAACTCTGGCACTTGCCTGGGTGGCCAGCATCGCCGTCTCACTCCCCATCACACTCGGTATGAACTACACGAGCAGACGAGCTGAAACACCATGGCTCTGCATATTTTACAATTCCGATTTCATCATTTACTCATCCATGCTCTCATTTTACTTTCCATGTATCCTCATGATTTATCTTTATTGGAGAATTTTCAGAGCTATAAGACAGAGGTCAAGAAGAAAATCGCAAGCAACAAAAAACCAAACACATCAACATCAACAGCAACAACATCTTCAGTTTCAACAGTTAACCCACCAATCCACTCCCCAACCTCAGCAGAAATATTTTAATCAACTACAAAATGTGCTGCAGGCCGAACAAAATACAACGTTTAATCAGAAAGAAGAAACGGTTGAAAAGAAATTGAAATTAATTAAATTAGATGACAATAGTACAAATTTCAACAAAGTTGATGAAATAAAAAATGACAAGCTCGATGAAAAAATAATTAAAACCAACCATAGAAAAAAAATCAATAATGAAAATAATGCCGGCAGCAATACTGATAATGATAACGCTGCTAAATATGAAAAAAATAAAAATGTAAACGTTAAAAATGAAATTAATACCACAAACAAAAGTCAAATTTCAAATGAAGACAGCCCAAACAGAAGCAATCATATTGAAAAAAACAGCAATGTATTGTCAGTATTATCAAATGATGGTTCGTTTGTGACGAATCAAATAGCCAACGAAACTAACAGGGTCAACTTAATAACATCCAATCAACAACTGTTTGACAGCTATCAAGCCTGGAGCCACGCACCTCCAATTTTTGAAATGAAATCTCGCAGACGACGAGTTCTCGTGAACAAGAAGGAATGCTGGGAACACGTTCTCAACCCGTGCAAACGCAAAACAGCAGAAGATCATGTTATTCAAAGTGCTCCTGATTTTCGTTCGGAGTGCAGGAGAAATGACGAAACAAACAACGATGCTGTACTGCACAACTGCACAGTTCACAACAACAACACCAGCACAATAAACAACGACAAACACGATTATAATATCACAGTTGAAACATCAAGTAAGAAAAATAATTTTATTGAGCTTGAAAAAATTTTAAATGAGCACAACACGTTGTCAAACTATTCAACTTTCAATTGTGCTTACAAAAGAAGTAGCAATAGCAGCTACAACAGCAACTGCAGCATCGACAACGGCAAATTTACTTGCAACTACGAACAACCACAAAGCAACACAAAAACCAAAACCCTGCTGAATAACATATCAGAAAAAACAGCCACAATCGCCATGATAACATCTCTCACAACGACCAACGAACAACAAAATTCCACCAATGAACCGAACAAAATGCCAGAAACAATTATAAGCAGCAACAAGCAGCAGACAACGCCGATAAAGATTACTTTTCAAAGACAATCATCACCGTCAACCACCTCAAAACTAACAAACCGCCAACGACAGAGCAACAACTTCAGGTTGAGCACTTTCAGCTCGAGAAGATCCACAGTTTTCAATTTCAGCATTCGATTCACCAAACTGAAACACGAAAAATCATCGAACAAAAAAGAAAGGAAGGCTACACAAACGTTGGCAATCGTGCTTGGTCGGTAGGATGTTTACTTTTTTTTATCTTTTTTCACTTTGTGCAAATTGTCATTATGTTTTTTGTTGTGAACTACTATTTTGAATTATTTTCCATTATTGCTTGTCCCGTTGCAAAAATAGTGCAAAAATTGAATAAAAAAATGATTTTTAAAGATTTGATTGCTGTAGATGTTAAAAGGCAAAAGAATTTGTAAAATTGTCTAAAATCGTTAAACTGAAATAAATCAAAGTAGGCTGAAAGTGTTTCCAAAATTAATTAATATGTAAAGATATTGCACATTATAACATCGAAACGTAGGAAAAATTAAAAAAAAACTTATGAAATGACCCTACGAAATTTAATTCACGATTTTGGTTACAAAAATAAGAAACTGATTAGAGATATGGAAACTTGAACAAAAAAAAAAACAACCTAGTAAATTCGATCGAGTTCAACAAAAATGTAATCAAGGAAACATACTGCCTCTAAATATACAGATAATTAAATTTGTGGAAGCATTTGATACATTATTTTAGGAGCTGGTTACAAAAAAAAAAAAAAAATAGAAAATCTAAAATAATCAAGTAAAATTAAATGTTATAATCAGCAACATTTATTGTTATTGTAAATAATTAAATCTATGCTAAACAGCAGTAAATGAAATGTTATTTTTGAAAGATAACACACGGAATTACAATTCTGTAGAAAACATTGAAATAAGTAAACTTCAGTGATAGATACTCCCCCCCAACGACCTCCCCATTTACGACTCTTTCTCATTACCGACCGTTTTGTTTCTGACGGATGGTTTTCACATTAGGCGTCACTCCCGATCTACGATTTTTCCAAAAGTAGCCAAAGACCTTAAAAAACACTAAAAATTATCATTAAAACGTTAAATTTACGACTCTTGTAAAATTTTCAGTGTTTTTTGAAGTGTGGATTCATGATCCCAATAACTAATGTAATTGAAGGTAATCATTTTTTGGTTTTTATGTTTGTTTTCATTCTATTTTTAGCTTTTGTTTTTAAGTTTAATTGGGAAACGTTTATTTTTGTAAACCACATTTCAACTTCCTAAGCGAAAAATATAGAATATATAAACAACAATTTTCAGATTATGTGGCACAAACTGATATGGAAAAAGAGAACCCTGCAAATGAAGTCAAGCTCCTCAGCGGCATGACATTAAAAAAGTTTGCTGCAGTAGATGACGAAGTCCCAACCTGTGCTGAAACAGAAAAAATTAACTTGGATTGGATATTCAGTCACCTCCTGAATTTGATCCACAAAAAGATAGAACCTATGAAATAATTGAACCAGTGGTTTCTTTTACTGCTGCTGCTAAAAGTACTTAACAGTTGATACATTTTGAACTGATTCATAGATTTCGAGGCATTTCAGAACTTTTGGAAAATTTTCATGGCCAAATTCAAACAGAACATTTTTAAAGGAACCTCCATTTCATTTTTTCCCCAAAGAAATTAAATTTTTGTTTTTAACAATACAACATGGTTTTTTCAAATAATATATTGTATGAATATAATACAATGCAGGGTATATTTACTAATAATAAATAATGTATACATTTTGTGTAGCTTATTTTATTTGGTTGTAAATACGCTTTCTCCCCGTTGTAGACCCTCCGTTTTAAGACCTGATTTCTTTGACATTTTCAAAATCGTTAATAGCGAGTACCACTGTATAAGTGATTCACAATGAAATTCGTGAAATAATAAATAACAAGCTGCAGTAACAAATAACAAATGCCTTCCAGTTTCATAAAAAAATCAATTAGCAGTTGGATTTACAACAAAACTATGTCAATCAAAAATTTTTTCATTTCAAAAGCAAAAAGAAACACAGCTAAATAATTGTCCTAATCGAGTGTTAGATTTTCAAAGTAACACACAAACACGCAGTAGTGTGTAAGCAGAAGGAGGAGACCGAGTCACAGCACTGGCCATAAAATACTTATTCATCGATCAATTAAACGGGAATCATTTTCTTAAAATGAGAAGAGCCCCCCATCGACTAATCTCCACACGCTATCTCACGTTTATGTACTTTATGACTTGCATTTCTTCCTGCCTCTCTACGTCATGTCTGTCCATGCTATTTGTGAGCTTTGAAGGCGCATTCTTGTGGGTGTTTGTGCGTGTTATTTCGCGAGTGTGTATGTTCATCTTTTTTTATCTAATCAAGCATTTTTGCTAGTGTGCTTGCGTTCACACACTTCTAAATAATCATGCACTGTTCGAAATTGTTTGCACATTTATGTATTCTACGCATGTATTTTATGCATGTGTTTGTACTTTAAATAAGCGTGTGTGTTTTTTTGTCTGCAAAAGAAAAGAAATATCTATTGACAATGGTTTCCTAAAATTTCATAATTTAAAAAAATTTCCCGCAAACAAGCTGATTGGTTTTCTTGGAAAAACTTGAAAATGCTTTAGCGGATTAGTTTCAAACTTTTAAAATTTGTATAAATTTTAAATAAATCTAAATATATATTTAGAGGTAACTTTAATTTTAATGTTATTTATAAAAAAATTTGTTCTCATGTTTAAAAATGTGTGCAGTTATAAATAAACAATATAATATATAATTTTTGTTACAATATAATATATAAATTTTGGGCGGTCTGGTGGCCTAGGAGTTAAGGTCACCTTTTCCTGATACGCAGTGACCGGATTCGAAAACAACACAAGAATCCAAGCCTATAAAATGCATTGTGTGTGATGCGTTGTTTAGCACGTATTCTTATGCGTCGTTTTGAAAAAGTGTAAACCTTTAACCTTTATTTTATTATTAATAAAAATTGAAAATATTATTTTACTTGTATATTATAAAACTTTATAAAATTGGCCTAGAACTGCTACAAAACATATTGAAGAACATGATAAAATATATTCAACAATTATTTTGAGTTTTAAAAAATTAATTATACTTAGAGCAATTGTTCAAACAGAGCACGCATAAAACATGGAAGGTTATTTTTATTCAACCCAAAAATAGCCAAGATAGAAAAAAGCCACAGCCGAATATATAATGGCATAAATGACAAAACAAATGTGTTAAAAATATAAGCCTGTTTGACTTTTGAAATTGAAATAGTCCTGGGTACTGAAATAACTTTAATAACTTTAATACCGGAAGCTTCTACTCAATCGTGTTCGGGATAAATGTCCTTCACTACCAGAGATACCTTTGCACCCGACTAAAATATCTAGGTACTAGAAATAAATACTTGATACCAAAGATAAGTACTCGTGTACTAAAGGCACGTACTTGCGCACTGGAGCACTTAGTCGTGCAAAAAATATTGACATAAATGAAAAATGATATGTTAAAATGGTTTTTGAAGCCTTACCAAAAGTGAAAAAAACATTTTTCATAGAAGATAGATTGAGAAAATATTTTGCACGAATTTCCATTTTTGATTTGATGGAAAAACTTGCAAACGCACACAATCACTATACTGCCTGGTGGTGCTATTTGATTGTTTGCATAGATCTGAGAAACGTTGGCAAACATCGGATGGATGACGTTACATTACAACGTGCTAACAACATAAGCACGAAGAATGAAAATTTGTTTTTCATCAGCAAAATAAAAACTTTTCCATTTTAATTTTTTATGTTTAAAGAATAAACAGAATGTTAGAACAGAACAGAAAATTATTATATTTAATTTTCAGGTAACCAAGAATGCGAATGAGAACAATAACATATATATTTTTATTCCTACCAAATAGTTCTTTTTACAATTGAAAATAGAGATATAATTAGCGCTTTATTACCTTACGCCAAGATCAATATATGCGGCGATAACTTGGTCACGGCAGAGAACCTACAACATAAACGAGCTATCAACACCCACGCAAGCGCATTTAAAAAATTCTCTCTAACAAAATTGTGTTAAACAAAAACTTGATTGATAAAATATTAATTAATAAGATATCTGAATGATTCAAAAGGTGTGATTTCTGTTTATGTGTAAATGTTTGTGTGTGTTTGCGTGTAAATGTATATATGCTTGAGCATTTTCATGTTAAGTTTAATGTTCATGAGTGTGATGGTTTGTGTGTATAAGGCTGTGTGTGATTGTTGTACGTGTGTACGTGTGCAAATTTTATTTGCACAATTTGTAAATCCATTACTTGTAAAAACACACACAAACACATGTGTATATATATATATATATATATATATATATATTTATATTTATATATATATACATGTAAATGTTGGTAATAGACCATAATTTTTACAATATTCTATAAATTCTACCGAATGTTTGGCGTTAATATGTTTGTAGTTCGTTTTTTCGATTTTTCTCACTAAAGTTTTTTGGTGAACGTTTAGTTTATTAAAATTCAAAATAAACTTA